GCACACGCACAGTACCCACACAGCACAAACACAGTACCCACACAGCACACGCACAGTACCCACACAGCACAAACACAGTACCCACACAGCACACGCACAGTACCCACACAGCATACACAGTACCCACACAGCACACGCACAGTACCCACACAGCACAAACACAGTACCCACACAGCACACGCACAGTACCCACACAGCACACGCACAGTACCCACACAGCACAAACACAGTACCCACACAGCACACGCACAGTACCCACACAGCACACGCACAGTACCCACACAGCACACGCACAGTACCCACACAGCATACACAGTACCCACACAGCACACGCACAGCACCCACACAGCACACGCACAGTACCCACACAGCACACGCACAGTACCCACACAGCATACACAGTACCCACACAGCACACGCACAGTACCCACACAGCACACGCACAGTACCCACACAGCATACACAGTACCCACACAGCACACGCACAGTACCCACACAGCACACGCACAGTACCCACACAGCACAAACACAGTACCCACACAGCACACGCGTATGTATCGGGTACTCTTGCGACGAACTCGGAGACAGCTCACAGGGATGGTTCCTTGCCCATAAACAGTTCGCCAGCATCGCTTTGAACAAGCCCGACTTGCGCCGATGAGACCGCAGAGAGCCGCGTGGCTGATGAGACGCGAGTCGAGGCACACAGCACGCGGGGAGGAGGCGCTTTGTGTGGCGTTCACTCGCTCGCAACGCTCCACAGCGACTGGCGATGAGCGAGCGTCGTGTGTCCCACGGTGAGCGCGGGCGGGTCGCAGTGCGGGTTATATTGCCAGCGCGACCACACTGGGACAGATTCGACAAATTGGAATCCTTCCCGATTGTGAAGCCATTACAGAGACCCGAGGATGGCGCCTTGGATTAGGACGCGTGTCGGGCTCGGGTCAAGGGGTGCGGGTTTGTTTTCAAGAGGTCAAAGTTCAGTGGACCCTCCCCCTCCCTTCACATCTCCAGGGTTATAGTAGGAAACCCAGCGGACCTGTGTCAGCAGCTGGTTTAGTGCTTATTGCCTCTCATCCCGAGACACGGTTAAATCTCCTCCATTCAGCGAGACTCAGTCATCGCTGGAGTACCGCTATTGCATTGCGACAGAAAGGCTCTGGGCCTTCGTGGTTAAATGAAGGATTAGGCGTCTCTCTGAGAGTTGGTGAGGAAATCAGCTGCGCCGTTTAGGCGGAAATCGCGTTCCTTCCCTGCTCCCCCATCCTCTCATCACCTGCCCAACTTATTCCACCCTGTATGGACCAACTATGGACCATAAAGTAAACCTCGATGTAGTATGTGCTCCTTTAACGAAGGAGTCGCCTCACAAACTACACGAACCCTCTCTCCTGAATCCCTCTCGTCGTTGCTATCAGACGTCGACATTGGCATTTCGCGCCTGGAGTCGAACCCTCAACCCCACGGTGCAGCCCCGATGGTCGATGGAGACCCGCCCCTGGCATGGTGACCCGCCCCTGGCATGGAGACCCGCACCTAGCATGGAGACCCGCCCCTGGCATGGAGACCCGCACCTGGCATGGAGACCCGCCCCTGGCATGGAGACCCGCACCTAGCATGGAGACCCGCACCTAGCATGGAGACCCGCCCCTGGCATGGAGACCCGCACCTAGCATGGAGACCCGCACCTGGCATGGAGACCCGCACCTAGCATGGAGACCCGCACCTAGCATGGAGACCCGCCCCTGGCATGGAGACCCGCACCTGGCATGGAGACCCGCACCTAGCATGGAGACCCGCACCTGGTATGGAGCCCAGGTGACGACGATTCGGCTCCATTTAGCGAATTTATGCAAAGCGAGTCACGCAGGATCCTCCTGAAAAGAAGCCCTAAACACAAAACAATCCAGGGCAGCATCGTCGCATCGCGAAACATCACACGGATGAGAAGTCACGCGCTTGGTTTAAATCCGCGTATGTCGTTAAGTGCCTGGTTCGTCTCCAAGTTGCCGTGGGTGGGGAGTGCCAGCTGCTTAAAGGACCCATTGATACCTGGAGGGGATTACCGCTCCGACTGGGCGCTCGCAGTGAACATTGACTCGCGGTGGACGCCGACTCGCACACGCGGGGGTCACGCGAGACTCGGGTGGAAAACCAAAACTGCGCGTCGCTCCTGCGTCAAGAGGCAGCAGACGATCCGACGTGCAGCGCTAGTCAAGCACGTGGCGACGCACAACACATTTCAACAACACTGCCCCCTCAACGAGATCGTCATATACGAGGCGACTTTTCGGGCAATGGCCCTTCTTCAGAGCAGAGTGCATTCGTTGGCACGATCTATGGGATGGGAGCTGCAGGGCCTGCAGCGGGAACCGCGTTCCTGCTCCTCACCACTTGCTCCCCCACTCGAGACTCGATCCAGGTTCTTGTGCTCCGAACAGAGTGAGCGGTTGTTCGGAATAGGAGGGAAGGTGGAGGATGGATGACGCGTGATGGAGAGAAGGATGAGAGGGGAGACGAGTGAGGGATGAGAAGAGAGAAGGGAGATGTAGAAGGGGCGAGGGAGACTCATGGGAGATGGGGAAGAGGGATGCAACGGATGAGAGTGAGATGGGAGAAGAGAGGGTGGATAGATGAGAGGAGGCGGAGGAGATGGGAAAGAGAGAGAGAGGAAGGAGATGGAGGAGAGGGATGGAGAGGAGAAAAGGAGGGGAAAGAGACTCTGGGGGGAGCAGGGGGAGGAGAGGCGAGAGGGAGGAGGAGAGGGAGGGGTGTCGCGGTCGCACAAAGCCCGCTCTGTGCGTCTCGCTGTGAGCGCAGCGTCGCGTTTTGTTTGTTACAGTGTCCGAGACCCCCCCTCCTCCTCCTCCTCCCCAGAGCCAATGCGACCCCTCCCATCGCCACAACGTGAATACGCTCACTTGCACACACACGTGCACACACTCACACTTGCACACACGCGGGCACTCACCCACTCACACGTGCACACACGCGGGCACTCACACGTGCACACACTCACGCGTACACAAAGACCCCCCCCCCCCCGTATAGCCTTTCAAGAGACTCTTGAGCCAAGTTCTGTTAGCAAGGACCTAGATAAGGCCGGAACCGCCACACGAAAGGGTGGGTGGCCAGCACCTCCACATGTCCACACATTCCCATATACACACTCGCACACATGAATGGGCTCACACGTCCATGAGTGTACACTCACCCTCCCATGCAATACAACGCCCCCACACCTACAACCCTGAACAGACTGTTGGGGTAAATATTGTTAGCGAGCATCTATTTAGGCCGGCACACTCACCTCCCACCCCCGACGCTCTGACGTCACAGAGCCCCCGCGTCCCCCCGCCCCTCCCCACCGCGGGGTGAATTCCACGACCCCAGAGCACGCCACGTCACGTGACACCAGTGGGGGACGGGACACCTCCATAGGGGTCCAGCACCATCATCAACGTCTCCAATCACCACCATCACCCCTGACCCACGCATACCCCACCCCTGACCCACGCACACCCCACCCCTGACCCACGCACACCCCACCCCTGACCTATCCACACCCCACCCCTGACCCACGCACACCCTACCCCTGACCCATCCACACCCCACCCCTGACCCATCCACACCCCACCCCTGACCGACGCACTCCTCTGCTCCGCGCGTGACACAGCGACGTCGAGTCACCACCTTATTCATTTATTTGAGTTTCGTGTGAAATAGCCTAATTAATACATCGTCTAATATTCACCTAAAATACAATAATAACAATAATAACATTTTCTATACAAACGCCACGGACATGTAAAATAATAATAATAAACAAAAAGGCTATAATTAAAAACGGAATCTGGTCGTCGTACTTGGCATTAATCTCTCGCGAAGTGAACGCTCCCGAAATAATACACCAGAGCGGAACCCCTAAGACGAGGACGTCACAGTCCGCCACTTGGTTGTGCCCTGCCGCGTGCAGCTGACGTCACTTTAATAAGTTAATTGGCTGCACGGTAAGCGGGACCCCCCCCCCGCCCGCAACACCGAGTCGCGAGTTGAACCGTGGCTTTGATTGCCGTGAGACGAGGGGTGGAGGGGGGGACGAGGTGCCGATCGGATTTGAATGGAGACCGGTGGGAGGAAAGGGGGTCGGGGAAAGGTCATCGCGCGGGCGGCCCCTCCGCGACCCACCCACCTACCCACCCACCTACCCACCCACCTACCTACCCACCTACCCACCCACCTACCTACCCACCCACCTACCCACCCCCCCTCTTCCCATCGACCACCCCCCACCCCCAGAACCACGCTCCACAGAGCGACGGCACAAGCGGAATGCAGTGAAGAGCACCTCTCGCTCGCTCTCTGTAGGACACTACAGAAAAAATATATACTATACATATTTATATATATAGATTTATTTTCTGAGTAAATCACAGCTAGCTCTAGATTACTTATGACCTCGTGATTTATAGAACAAAGTATGTATATGGCGCTTCGGTAAAACCTGGTTAGAGCAACGCGCAATGTGTGACCGCCTCATCAATTTAATTTTCCCCGCCCAATACCCATGCCTAAATTTAGCTCCGATCGTCATTATTAATGAGGGCTCTATCTCTCGTGGGGTATTTTCCAGAGCTCAGCCCTGGACACAGCTCCAGCTTGAATCAAGCCCTGGTTATTATCACGTATTATCATCGTCATCATCATCGTGATTAGAGAGCTGGCGCATTTGAGAGCAGAGCCTCCCCTGAGCGATGGAATTGCGGTTTTGCGCGCTGCCACCGCTGCCGCCGACCCCTGAACGCCGTGCACCTGGGAGCCGGGCGGGGCAGCGTGGCGCTGGGCAGGGCTCCCGGCCCAAGCAGAGCCCAGGCTCGACGGCGGCACCGGAACGGCCTCCTCCAGCCGGTGCCGCTGCCTGCTCCAACCCAGCGGCCCCTCCGAGGCACTCACCTGAGCAAAGGAACGAAACGAGCCACTGGGCCGTCACCCCTTAACGACTCTCTCCGTCGTGGCCGCTGTTGCCGATATATTTTTTTGCCACTTACTTCCACCCCCTTTAAAACATTTCCTCGTGTTGTTTTTTGTTGTTTAGTAAAGTTTAGCCATTAAGGGCCGAGAGGAAAATTCTCCGGGAAGTGAAACCTGGCCGGAAGAGCAGGCCCCGTCACCTCCCCGCGCCCCCACATAACCGCCGCCCACGAGGCCCCGGGGAAACCAGGGAAAAGCCTCGACGAGACCACGGACAATCCGAGGAGACGTCCCTCGACCCTCGGGGGACGTGGGACGCCCCACGCCGGACCGGGCCCCGCGACGACCGGTGGAGGTGGCCGAGGGCGGACCCGGCGAGCGACGGTGGGCCAAGGGACGACGGCGGGCAGCAGGGCCGCTCGGCTTAGCCGCGGTTGGAGCAGGTCCTGCAGCAGAGCTGCTGCAAGACCTTCCTGCTGCAGAGGTTGTTCACCTTGACCAGGTAGCAGAAGCTGGTGTCCACCGTCTCTCCGCTCGCTGCGCACAACGGGGGCGGGCGGGGGAGAGATTAGGGCGCGCGTGCGTGACGGGCTGGCGGTGCGCGAGGTGCGCGAGGTTGCGCTGTCGGCGTGCTGCACGTACAGTCGCGGCAGGTGTACACGGCCACGCACGCCCCAGCCTCCAGGCTCTGGCCCTCGCTGCAGCTGGTACAGCTGCGATCCGTGGGCCCGCTGCACGTCACGCAGCTCACCTCGCACCTGCAGGCGGGCACACGTCCCACGGAAGTCGTGTTCTGCGCGCGTACGGGGTGGTTCTAAATGCGGCCTACATGCAGGGCGGCAATGTGTAGACAGGGTGGCTGCGTGTTTGGGTTATGTGTATGGTGCCTTTACGTAGGGAGTGCGTGTGTGTGCGGAGGGTGTCTGCGTGCTGCCGGTGCCATTGTGTGCAGGGTGCCCGCTTGCGCAGGGTGCTCGTACTTGTCGCAGCTGGGCTCGGCGCCCTCCTCCACCTCCTCACGGTAGTAGCTGGGGCTGCAGTCCGGCACGCAGATCCCGTCCTGCCTCAGGTAGCCGGCCGCACACTTCAGGCACGAGTACTGCCCCCCGGCTGGGGACCACAAACAAAGACAAAGACCCCCCGTGTAGACACGCAGACTGCTAGGGCAAGTGCTGTCCGCGAGCGCCTATTAAGGACCGGTCGATGGGGATGGGTTGGCGGGTGTGTGGCCAGAACCAAGCCCAGTTTTCTTCATCTCCCCAGTGCTGATGCTGACATACTGCACCAGGTACTTATTTTAAAGGTTACATCGGTCTAGGGCAGGCCGCCCACAACTGCTTCAGATATTTGCCACTGATGTTGGCCGTGAGCAGGAATCTTACTTGGGTGTGCAGCGCAGTGCACTAACCACTGCGCCACCACTCCCCACGCGTACATACGCACACACGCACATGCATCACACACGTAGGAATGCACACACCCATGAACAACAGCCGCCATTCCCCACTAAGTGCTGGTGACTTCACCACAGCGCTTGTGCCAGGCTAGGTCCACTGATGCCATCACGTGAAGTGTAGAAGTCTCGCTTGCTGGGGACAGACCCAGGTGTTACGGGTTGATCGACAGATGATCGTCAGTTCCGCTGCCTGTGCCAGTACGTGCACACGAGCGCACACGGCGCATGAAGGAGCGCACTTGGCACACGGGAGATCGCGTCACGAGGTCACGGGGTCACGAGGAGGCCGAGGGCCTGGCAATTCTTAGGGATGCATGGGGAGGCTTTAGCAGGGAGCCAAGCAGTGGTTTCTGGCTTCAGGGGCCTCCGAAAGGTGGAAATGAGAGCCCAGGGATCGCTGGTGGGCGCAAGGAAGCCGAGAGAGGAAGGAGCCATCAACATTGTTGTCTTGGACCTTCCTTTCGCTTGTTCCCGCGTGAGGAGTGTAAAATAATTATTCCCATAATTGTTGGGTCAAAGGTCAGGTATCAGCTTCGGAGGGGGGACCTCTCAAATGCGAGATGGCGTAGCGTGTGACATTGGCCGGCAGGTGGCGTGAGATTGATTAGTGGCTGCGTGAGACCAGCACGGGAAGAGGTGGGCAGAGAAAGAGGTGGGACATCACTACATTTGCTCCTCCTTCCCTGCTGCTGCTCCCCCCAAAGTATATAACTCTCTCCCCCTAGCCACCAATGCTGTCGATTCCCCGCCCCTGGTCAGGTCCAGGTTTAAGAAATTACACCTCTTTTTTGCTTATGACCGATTGCCTTTTCTCCAGCATACATTTACGACAGTATTTTTTGTTATATATATAAACCACACACATGATTGCCATGCCATGCTTGTTCTTGTTCAGCAACTTAGATGCAGTTGTATTGAGAATAATTACAAATCGTACGATTCCACCTGTACCGTTTTGTACATTCGAGTTTGCTTCTCACTCGAGACTTTGCGGAAGACTTCCAGGCTGGCTTCAGGGTAAGGGGCTATGGGTGCAAGGCACTACCCACTATCGTTCACAATCCTGCATTACTGTACCAGAAAATCCCACAATCCTGTGAGGTTGACCAGAATGTAGGGTACAATGAGGGACAGAATGAGGCGAGGTAGATCTGGCACTCCGCAATAATTCCAGGAACCAGGTTCTGGTCAGCTGATCGTTCCAGCTGGCATGAAGCGCAAGGCCGCAGGTCGCAGGTGGGAGGCGTCGGTGCGGGCCCTACTTGCGCAGGTGTTGCACGAGGGGTGGCAGGGCTCGCAGCGCGTCTCCTGCAGATTGAAGTAGGTCCTCTCCTGGCACTTGGGCACACACATGGAGCCGTGGAGGCTGCGAGGACACGGGACGATGGGGGGGAGGGAGGGATGCGGTGACTAAACCACGGGTGTCACGTGACGGCGAGCTGAATGCATCCGAAACTCAAATCCAGCCGAGCAAGCGCGGGGCCAGGGGCCGAATCTACGAACTTCACCGGCGTCGATCCTCCTCCTAGCCCACGTCAGATCGCGGGGAGAGTCCAAATGAAACAATGAGTAGCTGTGAACGATCGCGGTGACACCAGGGCCAGGCAGCGCCCGTGACCGTGTTCGTTACGAGCACCGCCTTGCAACGTAGACGAGAGCGGCAGGCGAACATCATGGGCGGTGGCTGCCAGAGTGGACGGCACGCAGAGCGACCAGACGGTCTGTAATTAGAGACCACGCTCGATCGCGTGGCGCCTCGAAACAACGGAGCATTTGTAGAAGATACGGGGTAGAAAGTAAGATAATGGGAACGAACACAAACGCAAGTGGTGTATACGAGCGGCCTACTAAGGCCGACAAACACACACATCGCGCGGGTACACACGCACCAATACATACCGATTTCATCTCGGGTACACGACCCCCCCCGCGCGCCATCGCCTTTGCTCACCTGAGCCCGTTGCGGCACATCGTGCAGCGCTCGGCCGCCCCCACGCAGCGCTCGCAGCTCTCGGTGCACCGCCGGCACATCATTGCCGCTGCAAGGGGTGGGGGCGGGGGGCAGCGGGGAGGGGGTTTAAAAAACCACAGCCGTTGTTTCAAATGCCGCGAGATCCTTGAGAGGAAGGTGTCGTGAGAGGAGGCGGGAGCGGTGGCGAATTGGGGAGACCTTCAACCAGCGGTGGATTGATCACGCCTTACGGCGACGATGGGCATCACGCACCTGTGTCCAGGTAGAATCCGTCGCTGCAGGCGGCCATGCACTGCGGGCCCGGCCCCTCCTGCCGGAAGTATCCGGTGCGGCACTCGGAGCAGCGCTCGAGGCCGGCGCCGGAGCACGCCCGGCACTCGCGCGAGCACCGCCGGCACCGCCGCGTGTCGCCGTCGCCGAAGAAGCCGATCGGGCACTCCGACAGGCACTTCCTGCGCGCGCCGGGGACGGGCGGCACAGGCGGGGTGGGGAGGGGAACACGAGCGGGCGCTCGAAAACAACAAAGCGTCGCCACCGCGCGACGTACGAGCCGGGAGACGCCGCGAGACGCTGGCCGGGGACGCGCGGCCCAGCGCACGGCGCGCCGCCCGCGACCGACGACCATCGAGGAGGCGAGAGGAGGGCACGAGGTTGGCGGTGGGGGAGGGGGCAGTGGCGACTCGTGAGACTCACCTCCCGCCGCCCCGCAGTCGCAGGCTCCAGCGGGCGCAGCTCATGCACTGGTCCTCGCCCGGTCCGTCACAGCCCTGGCTGTCGCACTCGGCATGACACAGCCCTGCTTGCACGCACACACACGCACACACACATGCACACACACGCACACACGTGCACACATGCACATACACACACGCACACACACGCACGCGCGCGCGCACGCCCACACACACGCACACACACGCACACACGCACGCGCGCACACGTACATAAGCACCGGCATGCACGCCAATGCTGTTTGCGAGCGCCTATTACTACCGGCGTAGCATACAAGGTAGTAGTGTGGCTAGAACGACACCCAAATGCTCATGTTGACGTACGTTTCTAGACGGAACGAGGTACTCATTTAAGGCTGAATTGACCAAGGAGTGGCCCAGAACGGGTTCGGATATCGCTCGCCACTGATGTTGGCGGACACAGGAAGAGGACACGTTCGGGACACGGAAGAGCACACGCAGAGACGAGTATTGCCCTTCGGGCGCTCAACCACGGTTTAAAATATTTTTCTTGATTTTGAATTCGTGTCCGAAATGGTGACGAGCAACAGAGCACCCGGTGGACGGCGGCGTCCGCGGGCACGGTTCACTGCTCGCTCTGCGGGCGGTGAACCCCTGTGCTGCCCGACTCGGCCTGGCCTCTGGAGTTTTCACTCGGCCAACAACGTGTGAACGCAAACCGGTAGATACGCACGGCGCCTGGTGACGCTGCTCCTGCTGCGTTGGCAGTGGTGCACGATCACGAATAATAATAACACAAACTCGGCACTTTCATCAACAGCAACGTGGCTTGGAAAAATATACGATGGGCGAAAATTTCGGGCAATAGCCCCTTGATCATAGCTTATAAATAGGGAGGCCAGAGATATTGACTGTGCTGTGAAGGACCATTGACTGAAACATTGCCTGTTATATATTTTTAATTTCAAAGCCACGATGCTGTTGACAAATACGTTGAGGTTTTCCTTAAATGACTACATTTGCAGGGGCTAAGTCCTGCTAACCCTAGTGGGGGGCAAGGCCCGTGGGGGAGCGTGGGGCGGGGGGGCGGCGTCACCGCTGTACTCGGTCTCCTCTGAGTAGTCCTCGTATTCGACGTCGTGCGCCGCCGCCGCGTGCTCCGTGGGGTTGGCCGGCTCGGGCGAGCGGTCGCGCTCCACCTTCCCCGCCGGGCCCCCCGCGCCGCCCTGCCACGTGTAGGGGGGCTCCGCTGTGCCGTGCAGGATCAGAGACCACTCCTTCAGCTTGCCTGGCACGCACACGCAGAGGCGGAGATCCCTCGTGTGGCCTTGACAAGCCGTCGGGGCGAGTGCTTTCAGCAAGCGGCACCTATGAAGGCCGGCACGGCGCACGAGGGGGTGGGTGGCCAGCATCACGCCCGGCCGCCGCTGTGTCCCCGGCGCCGATATTACACACCGCACCAGGTGCTCATTTGGGACTGCGTCGACCGGTTCAGACATTCGTCACCGATGCTGGCCATCGTCGCCGTCGTTGCCATCGTCGCCATCGTCACGGTCGTGGCCTGAGTGGTTGCGGGCGGCAGGCTCACCCAGCACGCGGGGGTTGCGGAAGTAGTTGGAGGGGTTGTCGTGGATCTCCAGCGTCCACGTGCCGGCCGCTCTCTCTCCCCAGCAGTGCGACGTCATGAACTCCCAGTTCTTGAAGCCCTCCTGGGAGTTGTCAAAGGCCCTGGCTCCCACACAACAACCACAACCACCACGACCGCGGTCATTCTCTACTACGTGGAAGTGACATCACTGCCGCGCTCGTGACGCGACCAGCGGCAGCGTGCTCGCCGCTCGTCGTTGCACGGGTTCATGGCCCCAATCCGGCGGCCGCCCCGGTTAATGCTGTGGGTGTACGAGCCGGAACACCACCACACGTCTGCTTGTCGGTGGATGTTAAATGGCATCGTGGTCCAACTTTGCCAAAAATCGAAAAATTACTCGCAAAATTTGCTTAATTGGGAAATGCGCAGCAATCATTGCCCCCAGCTCTGAAAGCCTGACAGGACCCTCCTGAAGAAGAGTCTTGAGACTCGGTGAGGCGTTCCCGAGTAAACGAGTGGAATGATCGCATTGACGTGCGAGGAGAGACGCTCCCGGGTTGTGCAGCACGCGCGCACACATTGGAGTTCGCAGCAGGTGGCGCTCCGCACTGAAGCCCAAACCCCACAGCGCGTCGACTTGATTTTGTTTAACCAGACGAGGGGCTCAAGAGACCGGGATAGAGTGTCCCGGGTCACCAACGATGTCAAAAGCAACTGACGTAAAAACAAAACCACAGCAGCGAAGCAAATAGAAATCGAGGCAAAAGCGACCGGCGTCGCAAGAGAGATCGTCGCGCATTAAGGAAGCACCTCTTGGCCAGCAGCTGGGACTTGGTGCCGGAGGGCGACGTGAGGTAGATGGAGAGGTCGCCGCGACGCGGGTGGGAGATGGTGACGCGCACCACCACGTGCTCCAGGAAGACGACGCGCTGCGCCGCGTTGTCGGCGCAGCCCGTGGCCTGGTGCACGGCCGTGAGGGTCTGGCTCGAGCGGATGAGCCTGCCACAAGCAACCGCACCGCGCGCGGCGTCATGCGCCGTGCCACGTCGACGCGCGGCAATCGGTGCCGAACCGCGGCGGACTTCGCGGCACCACGGCCGCGCCGCGCATCGCACGGTCGGTGCAGCTGGCAGGCACGGGGGCAGTGGCGGAAGGTTGGGGGAGGATTCAACCTCCCACCCCCCCCCCCCCCCCGCTACCGACAAGGTGCCATGATGGACAACGCCTGTGATCTGGCGCTTGGTAGCACGTGCGGATGTGAGATTAGTGGGGAGCGGTAGTGTAGCGGTTAGTGCCCTGCACTACGAACCCAAGGACCCCAGTTCGATTCCCGCTCACTGCCAACACCAGTAATGATTATCGTAACCGGTTCTGGGCCTCCGCTTCAAATGAGTATCAGGTGTGATGTGTAAACGTTGCCACCGGGGAGACAAAGGCGGTCCCGCATGGTGCTCGCCACCAACTCCTCGTGTACCGTGCTGGCCTTCGTAGGTGCTCGCTGACAGCGCGTGCCTCAGTCTGTTAGGGCTATGCCGGTTTTATTTTTGCCTTTGCTGTAAGATTTGTTGTACTGCCAGGGGACAGCATCGGAGACTCGTGCAGCCTGTGAATCGTTGCGTTGACTTTTGAGCGTTATACCCATGTAGTGCGTGGCGGATTTGCTCCGGGCACTCCAACAAAAGGCAAGTCTATATTTACAAAATTATTGGCCAAGCATCCCAATGCAGGACACTGAAAAAAATTCAACCTTGAGGCCTTCTGCCAAATATTATTATCACGCCCTCTGCAAGTTAAGTTGTCCTCCGCCCCCGGTCATGGATTTAAAGCATAAGTTGTGGGGCGGGGCGGGGGCATCTCATAATCCGATTGGTCCGTGCGCATACGGCTTCGTACAACGTCACAGACAGCGGACACAGGTGTGGGCTGCCGTGGCTATGCCCCCCCCCCACCCCCATTCTCCCATGGGCCCCCCAGGACGGTTCCAAGCACCGGGGCCTCAATCCAACACTGAGCGAGGCCCAGCGCCAAGGCAGTCAAGGCCAAGGCTGCAGCCCCCAGACGCATTCCTTGTTTTGTTTTCCGTTTCGTCTCTAGACCCCCCCCCTCCCGCCGCCCCCCACACAATCGTTTGCCAGTCACGTGGCAATCGTCTGCACGTTCGTTCCGCCGAGGCCGCCGTTCTGTCTGCACAATCCACGATCGTCCCTCCCCAGCGGCTCCCAGCACCTGCTGCTGCTGCTGCACCGACAACATCAGCAGCAGCACCAACAAACAGCAGCAGCACCAACAAACAGCACCAGCAGCACCAACAAACAGCAGCAGCAGAGGTTTGTGGATCACGCAGAGATTTCTGAAACTCTTTGGGCTACAAGATGGCCTGGAAAAAGTGTCAGAGCAAGTGGGACCAGCTGCTGCTGCCACTGCCGCTTCACTCGACAGGAAGTGACTCTGGAAGTGGCTGGAAAAGAGGAAGCTGCAGGCGGCAGTAGGGTGAGCGAGCCGGGGCTGGTGGGGGTGAGTGGGGTGAGTGGGGTGAGCGAGCCAGGGCTGGTGGGGTGAGTGGGGTGAGTGAGCCAGGGCTGGTGGGGTGAGTGGGGTGAGCAAGCCGGGGCTGGTGGGGGTGAGTGGGGTGAGTGGGGTGAGTGGGGTGAGTGGGGTGAGCGAGTCGGGGCTGGTGGGGGTGAGTGGGGTGAGTGGGGTGAGCGAGCCAGGGCTTTTGGGGGTGAGTGGGGTGAGCGAGCCGGGGCTGGTGGGGGTGAGTGGGGTGAGCGAGTCGGGGCTGGTGGGGGTGAGTGGGGTGAGTGGGGTGAGTGGGGCGAGCGAGCCGGCGCTGGAGGCACCCACCGGTTGCTGCGCTCCGCCGACTCGACGCACACGTGCTGCGGGGGCAGCGGCCGCCACTTCTCCGCCTCCATCACCATGGCGCCCGCGTCCATCAGCCCAAACCCGTACAAGTGGCTCACTGTGGGGGCAAGGCGGGGGGGGAGGGACCATGGGTGACAGGCACAAACAGTGAATGTGCTTACTTGAGGTGGTGCACATCTTCTAGTCAGAGCCTAGAGCCAGTGCGGGAAATTCGACATTCCTATGTCGGAGGCAAGTATATACAACAACTTTTAACTTCCCTTCAAAGTGGTACGTATTTTATGGACCCCCAGATGGATAATGATAATGCGCTGAGTCAACCCCCAAGCAGGATTTGAACTTGCAGCCTTCTGACTGCAAGCTGCTCGCTCTGCCGCTGTGCGTGCGTGTGTGTGGTGCACACTTTGCACGTAGTGCGTGCGTGCGTGTGCACGCCTGGGAGCGGTAGTGTAGCGGTTAGCGCGCTGCGTTATGAACCTGGCGACCCAGGTTCGATTCCCGCTCACGGCCAACACCAGCGACGATTATCTGAACCGGTCCTGGGCCTCCCCTAGGTCGACTCAGCCTCAAATGAGTACCTGGTGCGGTGGATAAAAACATTGCCACTGGGGAGACTAAGGCGGTCGGGCGTGGTGCTGGCCACCCACCCCCTCGTGTACCACTCCGGCCTTCATAGGTGCTCGCTAACAGCACTCGCCCCAAAAGTCAGTTCAGTCTATATGGAGGATCTTTGTTTCTTTGTTTTGTGCGTGCATGTGTGTGCATGTGTGTGCATGTGTGTGCATGTGTGTGCATGTGTGTGCGTGCGCGTGTGCGTGCGTTCGCATGTGTGCGTGTGCGTGCGTGCGTGTGTGCGCGTGCATGCTTGCGTGTGTGTGTGGTACCCCGGTGTCCGGCCCCATTGGTTTTCCAGTCGGGAGCGTGGAGGTTGTTGGAGCGTGAAGTCTTCACCACGATGTGCTGCACGTCGCGCCACGTGAGCCCGGGGCTGAACGCACGCACAACAAAGACAAAGATCCCCTGTATAGCCTTTAACAGACTGTTGGGGTAAATTTTATTAGTGAGTAGCACTTATGAAGGCCAGAACGAGGGGGTGGCTGGCCAGCAACCATGCCCGGCCGTGTATGTCTCTCTCATGGTGATGTTTATACTCCAGGTACTCATTTACATTCGAGTTGACCTAGGGGAGGTCCAGGACTGGTTCCGACGATCGTCACCGGTGTTGGCCGTGAGCGGAAATCGAATTTGGGTCGCCGAGTTCATAGTGCAGCTTAGCGCTAATCACTAAACTACCGCTCCCCACACACAAGTACACACACACACCTACAGGCACATCACACACCCGTGCAAACGCTCAAACTCCAATAACATCAGCAACAGGAAGCACCTCTTGGCAATACGTGACGGTGATGTCACCACGGCGATTGTGCCAGCTCAAATGCCCCCTCATTGATTCCACGTGAAGTGGTGGAAACATCGTTGGCAGGACGCCAGTGGGATAGACCCAGGTGTTATGGTGTTAACTGACAGATGTGATTAGGAGTGGCAGACACACCAACCCGCACATCATTGCGCTCACACTCTCTGCACCATGCACTCCCCTTCACGCGTGCGCACCCTCACACCCTCGCACACGTCTCGCACGCACGCATTCACGCGTACACGTGCTTTTATAACTTTGGTGACCCAGGTAACTCTAGCAAATTAGTCTCTCTTAAGTCCTTGCCTGGCTCAACTCGAAACTAAACCTGCACACACCCCCCGCCACGCCCCCGCCCACTCACTTGGCCTCGAGGGCAAGGGCGATGATCCCGGCCGCCATGGGCGCAGACGCCGAGGTGCCCGTGTGGCCGTCCGTGCACTTCTGCCGCAGGTCCGTCGTGATCTACGCTCGCGCAAAGCACGCGGGGGGCTGTTTGTCGCTGGCTCGCGTCACGTCGTCGTCGTCCCGAGTGCGACCGTGCTCGGCGGCCACTGTTCGCCACCGAGTGGCGGTGCTTGTGCCAGACAAGGTGCACCTTGAGGCCACGTGCAGCGTCGAAGGGTTGCTTGTTGGCGGGTCACGGGACAAAACCCAGGTGCCGTGGCCTGACCGACTGAGATGACTGGAAGATATCCCGCCTGTGCCCCCAAATGTGCCACACCGACACTCAAGCACGCTTGCCCATCGCGGCCTGCGCTTCCGATAGCTACGCCCCAAGCCGTCCCCAGGGTACGGCGAATCGGGGCGATCGCCCCGGGCCCCGCGCTTTGAGGTCACGGTGTCAGTTGTAATACTTCCGGTTTAGTTTGGAGGGGCCAGGGCCCCGCAACCCCCTATAGACAGCACCGGCTTTGCCACTGCCACACACACAGACACACGGATGAAGACGCGTGCATGTGTGAACCCAACCCTGGCACCCCCAACTTGGCCCGCAACATGTCGGTGCAATGGTCGTTATTGCGTTGAGCTCTCCTGCAGGGTTCTGCACAGTGTTGATAACGGACCTCGCGCTGACAGGGAAAACGCGTCTGTGTTTGGTCTCCGGTGGAGGTGGTGGAGGCCCCACTCACGATCTTGCGGTCGTAGGCCTCGCCGCTGCTGTAGGTGGTGGCCAGTGTGGAGGCGCACTCCTCCAGGTACCAGGGCTTCTTGCCACTCTCCGTGGAGCTCGAGATGGAGATGGTGAAGATGCTGTTGGTGTAGCCGTCGCACGAGCAGTGGTCGCGGCTGCGCCCGCCGTTGCCCGAGGCCCACACGTAGATGGAGCCGAGGCCGCCCCGGCCCTGGGCACGCGACACGAGCATGGCACGGCTCAGTGGCGCTGGAGGGTGAGGCCGTCGCGTTGGGTCGATGAAGAGCAAACTCGTTAGGAGACTCGGTTCTAAGCGAGTCGGAACAGTCTGAGTGTTTGTTATCGCACGCTTCTTCGAGTTCAAGTGCATCGCGAAATTCGCCATGCCGACGACGCACGCGGCGAGCTCGCTGGAAGACTGCTTTGGACTCGAGAATGGAGCCATAAAATCTGCCACTGGTAGGCGCATCGCGCGGGTGCAACAGAAGCAGCAACAGCAGCATCAAGAGCAGCAGCAGCAGCAGGTTGGACTGCGTATCGTAGACGGCGTCGATAGAGGTCCGTTGAGGCCGCTACGCACAAGGAGTTGGTGAACTGCAGACACAGCCACTCACCCAGCGCCCCATTCAATGTTTATTTGGGGCAGTGCAAAGTTACGCGGACCATGGTTTGGTGTTCCTCATGGTTCTATACACACACACACACACATGCGCGCGCATGTTCACGTGCTGACTATACACAGCAATTACAAAGTACTATACACACAAACAAACACACAAGTACGCACACAAACACAGAAGTCTATTTCCTCTGTAATCTCACCCACAGCAGGGCGCTGAAGTGTCGACCGCCCCTCCCCAGGGTGGTTACCGAGTGCCACGAGACTCCCCGGACTCCCCGGCCAGGTGCAGCCAAGGCTCCTTGGAGCCTTCTCTGGGTACCCCTCTAGGCTCTGTGTGGGGGGATCCTCGCGTTGCTCACAGGGGGTCCCCAGGGAGTCCATGTTTCCCATGGGCGAATCAAAGGGGTTCCCTGTGTGGGGCCCGCCTGGGGGTCAGTGTGGGGCCAGGGGGAGGGGGGTCTGTGGGGGTCCGTGGGGGTCTGTGGGGGGTCCGTGGCGGTCCGTGGGGGTCTGGGGGGGCCCGTGGGGCCCGTGCGAGTCCGTGTGGGGGTCCAAGCGGGGACCGCGGGAGTCCGTGGGGGGGGGGGGGGGGGGGTCCATGTACCTTGCGGATGCCGGTCTCGAGGGCCCGGCGAGCGAGCGTGGCCGGCCCGTCCACGGTGCGACCGTCGTCGTCGGGACCCCAGCTGGCGCTGTACACGTCGATGTGCTGCGGGTTGACGCTGAGCGCCGTGGCCTCTACCATGTCCGTCACCTCGCCGTCCAGCATGCGCACACCTACGCACGCGCACGCTCAGTTGGGCAGGTGCGCACGCTCGCAGACAATCGCGACGGCACGCCGACGCTGCGACGTCCACGCACGCAGGCGCACAATTGTGCATCCACGCGTGCACACACACGCACGCGTGCACAAGCACACACGCACGCGTGCACACAAACACACGCACGCACAAGCACACACACGCGTGCACAAGCACACACACGCACGCGTGCACACGAGTCACACGCACGCATGGACCTGCACGAATACAAAGGCACAGGTGTAGTGGGGGCAGCCTCTTCATAGGGCAGAGGGAAAATGACGATGGATATGGACAAAGTTTACAGACACCGGGAAACTTGCGATTTTCCGGGCTGATTATGGATGATGGCTAGTAGTGGTGATGATGGGTGGTGGTGATGATGGATGATGGATAGTGGTGGTGGTGGTGATGATGGATGATGGGATGGCTATGACCGTGATGGATGATGGGCGGTGATGGATGAAGCATCATGATAATTTTGACGACGTTCCAAGTTCAGCAGCCACCGAGAGATGCGTGGAGAGAGAAAGTCCGAGGGCGGCTCCTCGTGTGGGACTCAAACCCCCGCTCCGGGGTTAATTAGAAAGCAATCTTCATGATCATCATCCGCCTAGCGTCAACCGGCCAGACCACACAGCGACAACAAAGACAAAGATCCCCCGTATAGCATTAACAGACTGTTGGGGCAAGTGCTGTTAGCGAGCACCTTTGAAAGTCGGCACGGCACACGCCCGACCGCCTTTGTCTCCCTAGTGGAAATGTTTTTACACATCGCGCTAGGTACTCATTGAGGCCGAGTCGACCTAGGGGAGGCCCAGGACCGGTTCAAATAATCGTCACTGGTGTTGGCTGTGAGTGGGAATCGAAACTGGCTCATCGGGTTCGTAGCGCAGTGCGCTAATCGCTACACCACCGCTCCCCAACGTACACACACAGGCACACACACAGGCACACACACACAGGCACACACACAGGCACAAGCACACACACAGGCAGGCACACACACAGGCAGGCACACACACAGGCAGGCAGGCACACAGGCAGGCACACACACAGGCAGGCACACACACAGGCACACACACACAGGCAGGCACACACACACAGGCAGGCACACACACACAGGCAGGCACACACACACAGGCAGGCACACACACACACACACAGGCAGGCACACACACACACAGGCAGGCACACACACACACACACAGGCAGGCACACACACACACAGGCAGGCACACACACACACACACAGGCAGGCACACACACACACACACAGGCAGGCACACACACACACACAGGCAGGCACACACACACACACACAGGCAGGCACACACACACACACACAGGCAGACACACACACACAGGCAGGCACACACACACACAGGCAGGCACACACACACAGGCACACACACACACAGGCAGGCACACACACAGGCAGGCACACACAGGCAGGCACACACAGGCAGGCACACACAGGCAGGCACACACACGCAGGCAGGCACACACACACAGTCGTGCTTCTATGAACAAGCCGAGGCGAGGCAGTTTGTGTGTTGCCGCTGTCAAGGGAGCCGAATGTTGATGGTGTTTAAGGAGCAGCCAATGAGCCTGGAGGCACCTGTCCCGTGAGGGACGGGAGGGGGCAGGGTTGCCCAGGCAAGTCAGGGTTAACCACAACTACTACTAATAATTATAATAATAAATAATAACTGTGTAACTATTCGAGACAGGAAGAGCCGGCACCACCCGACGGCACGCACGTCTTCAGGAGAAACACTTCACCTCTTCGCACGCACGCGGCCACACAGGCACAGATTCCCATGAGGCCTTGCAGGTTGCTGGGGCAAGTGCTCCTTCATGTCAGCTCATTGGCAGCGATGGCACCGATTTGCTCACCACCCAGCCAGTCTCGTGGCTGCACTTGGTCCCATTGCCTTCTCTTGTGAATATTTCACCGCCACATCGGTCCACGTGTCTTTCTGTCCTCCACTACTCCTATTTCCGCAGCATTTTCACAACTTTGCGTGCTTTTGTGAGCAAATGCTGTGAGTGAGCTTCTATTAAAGCCAACGTTAGATTCGAGGAAGTGGTGTGGCCAACGCCACGCCGAGCATCCAACATCTCTCCAGTATTGATGCTTTTACACAGCACACCAGATCCCCATGAAGGCCAAGTCGAGCTAAGATAGACCAGGGACTGGTCCAGATGTCCCTTGCCAACGTCGTTAGCCACAGCCAGGAATCGAACTCAGGAGACAGAGTTCACAGACCAACGCACTAACCACTGCACCACTACCGCAACCCCTCGTGATGGGGCCACACACTGACGCGCACTTGCAGGTCCACCCAGCCCACCCACCCAGCCACAACACTCACTGGGCTACCAGGTGATGAGAAATGCACAAGGCCACCCAACATCCCCACTCCCAGACCCTGACACAGAGGCTCACTGCTTGCAGGAACTCGCAAAACCAAGTCCCAGCACCGTCAACGCGCCCCATCTCCCTGGAGCTCGGCAGCCAAGCCGGGTTGAGGCTGGCCTAGTGCTTGAATGAATGGCCACCACCAGCGTTTGCCAGGTGCTGTAGGCGTGGCGCTGTGAGGCGTGAAAGCAGTGCGGCGCTGGGCTTTCTACGGGGTTCTCCGGTTTCCCCTTCCCATGTGGAGCCAAACTCCAATTCCTCGTGGCACTGGTCAAGCATCAATGTAGCAGGACCCTCCTGAAATATTCTCGAGACTCTGAGGCTTTGCTGGGTAAATAATGACCTTTTTCATTGTTACTATTATTATTAGAACCAGACGTCACGGGTTATCCGACGAGAGTGACTGGCAGATGCGCCGCCTGCACTCCGCCAACGTGCCAACAACTCGCTGTGTTCTGTGTTTTATCCTTCCGATGCTCTACTGATTGTTGTGAGCGTGGCTCCTCCACAACACACTCCCACACAGCGTGACTCATTCCCGCCAGCCGGCTGCAAAGAAACGGAAAGGACATTTCCACTAAAATACCGAAATACAGAAGGGACAGGATCGGGGTTCTATTTTGTTAACAGACTGCAGCTAATTAAACCCTTAACTTAGCCCATGGGCGTGATGTAACTCTGACAAGTAACTACGAGGACAAATAGGAGCGCTGCACAATTGACATGATTTATGGGGAAACTTTACGACAGCAAAATAGGATTTGGTTTCAGTGGGGAAAAAATCCACAATTGTGATTTATTCTACAGTTCAAAATCTCGAACGTGGTACGAGCTGGAGTGCAGCCTAGAGAAAGTGTTCAGCATGCGTGCAACGTGCATGCAGCGTGCACGTGTGTAGATTCAACTACGTGTGTGTAGGGTATGTACACTCGTCTAGAGTGAGTGTGGAGTGTATGCGTGTGTGGAGTGCGTATGATTCACGGAGTATGTGTTCAGTGGGAATTGGAGGAGGGGGGAGGGAGGGGGGGGGGGGTCCAATGCATTCCTCGCAGCTGTGCCGCGCGACTCCAGCCGAGGTCCTAAGGAGGAGGAGGACTCGGCGTGGTTTTTTTTCTTTCTGGGCTGCGTTTGGTTTTAATCCGAGCGAGAAACCTCGGCGTGAACTTGCTCCGGTTTTTAAAATTCCTTCAGACTCCTCAGACAATCGACTCTCGCGCCAAACCCAGACGCTGCCCGGGATCACACGTGGAGCGGCGGTGGCAGCACAGAGAGACGGGAAATGCGCTCACAACAACATCTGTGCTCACGCACTCGCTTACTCACCGACCCACGCAACAGCCTCAGATGGTGAGACAGGAAAGAGAGACATTGTCTCACTGGTGAGGGCTTCTCTGGGCTCCAGGCTCCCATCTGGGAACAGCCCCCCCCCCCCCCCGGTGACGTTTCTAATTGGAACAGGCCGAGCCGAGGGGGGCTCCGTGCGGTGTGGCCGAGACTCTGACAAGTACCGCGGCATGCGGCGTGCTCCCGCGTGTGGCCCAGTGGATAGCGCACCGTACGATAATCCTACCGCAAATATCAGCGACAAGGATTCTGAACCGATGCTGGGCACCTGATAGATCGACTCGGATTTAAATGAGTGCCTGGGTGCGGTGTGAGAGGGATCGGCGTTGGGAAGACAAAGGCGGTTGGCCATGGTTCTGGCCCCGCAGTGCCTTTGTGAACTGTGCTCACTCGCAGCACTTGTCTCAGTCGCCTGATAGAGGCTACGATGAGGACCTTCGTTTTGTGTGTGTAGGTGTAACCTTGTGTATGGGCATCGCGTCAGTGGGAGCATGACAGTTACAGGAAAAGTGACTCGGTGGTTTGTGAACTGTGCTTCGATCTCGCTGACCTGGATTCGATTCCCGGCCAAGGACAACATAAAAGCAAAACGGTATCGGAATCCGTTCTGGGCCACCGCTGTGTCAACTGGTGCGGCGTGTACACAGGCGCACTCCAACAGCGCCTGCTTCTGCAGTCTGTATGTCCACGCTGGCAATCTGCAGCTGTGCGTGTCGCTGCGGGTGTAGCTGCGAGTGTAGTTGCGGTTGCCCGAGCGTCGTGCTGCGTACCGCCGATCCGCGCGTTGTACGCCACTCCGGAGACGCAGATGGAGTTGTTCGCTGTGGCCGCCACCTCCCCGGCACACCTGGTCCCGTGCCTGCCATCGTAACGGGGACAAGCGTCGCAACGTCATCAACACGCCAACAGAACAACAACAACAACAGGAGCAGGAGCAACGCACGCGCGCGGCAAGGACAAGTATCCCCCCTATAGCCTAAACAGACCGTCGGGGAAAATGTTGTTAGCGAGCACCTATGAAGGTCGGCATGGCACACAAGGGGGTCGGCGGCCAAAACAAACGCGCACACAGACGGACACGCACAGACACGTGGCCGTGACCTTCGCCCGGGCAACAATAATTTACCAACCCCCCCCCCCCCCCGACATAAACACGACACCAGCGGCGCCGCACACACGCTTCATGCCGTGTGCCGACAAGAGACAGCGACACCGGACCGCCGTAAACATCCGGAGGGAAGACGCTCCCAGCACGCGGGGCCAGACGCCGGACTTCTCGAGAAGCGTTGCATCAAAGCAGACGTCGAGAACACCAATATATTGTTTGAAATAACTTGTTTTTTTTATAAATACAGACACACACGGCATTTGACATTCGGGCATAGGCCCTGGAGTCCGTGGCCATCGCCAGTCTAGCCCTCAGGCGTGGCGACTTCCAGGTGGTGAGGATGAGCTCGCAGCCACGAGAACTCCCCCACGGGAACACGCGAAATGTGGCTCCCCGATCAGAGCACACCTACGCGCTCACACCCACAAAGGCAAAGATCCCCCGTAGAGCCTCTAACAGACTGTCGGGGCAAGTGCTGTTAGCGAGCACCTAAGGACGCCGGCACGGCACCCGATCGGGTTGGGGGACATCACGGCCGGCCGCTTTTGCCTCCCGATTGTTGCTGTTACGCACCGAACCAGGTACCGATTCGAGGCCGAGTCGACCTAGGGGAGTCCCCAGGCTGGTTCAAATATTTGCCACCGATAGTGATCGTGAGCGGGAATCAAACTCGGCTCACTGGATTCGTAGCGCAGTGTGCGAACCACCGCAAGGCCGCTCCCCACACACACACGCACACACAGCGGAACAACACCCCCTAGAATGTCACACCCCGATCGGCATAGCTCTGTTCGGCATACCCATAAAAAACAACCAGGACAGCACAACAAGGACGGCAGAACCACGATAGCATCACCGCATCGGCACACAGCAAGGGCGGCACAGCCACGCTCGCGCCGCACTGCGCGATGCACGTCGCTGCGTCTCCGCGTCGCTCCCCCGTCAACTGCGCTGCTGCCCATCCTCGTTGGGAAGAGAGTAGCGATAGAAACAGAAACTCCGTTCATGAGAAGTTAGGAAACCCGAACGCAACCTCTCACCCACAGAACACCGATTCATCACGCGCGCACTCGCACACGCACGCATGTACAAAGACAAAGATCCCCCATATAGCGTGAGCAGAGTATTGGGGCTAGTGCTGTTAGGGAGCACCTATAAAGGGCAGCCCAGCACATGAGGGGGTGTGTGGCAAGCAGTACTGAGGTTTACACACCGAACCAGGTACTCATTTGCGGCCGAGTCAACCTTGGAAGAGACCGGTTCAGATCACCGTCACTCGTGTTGGGGGCCGCGAGCAGGAATGAAAACTTGGGTTGCCGGGTTCGCAGCGCTAACCGCCGTGCACAGACAGACACACACGCGTGCATGCAACACATGTGTGCGTACAACAACAACAAGCGCCATTCGCCACTAAGTAGCGGTGACGTCACCACGGCACTTGTGCCAGGCGATGTGCACGTTGTACGTACGCACACACCCACCTTTAAAAGACACGGGGACGATTTATTTGTAATATGTATATATAATATAAATTTCCATGAAGAATAATACAATCTAAATAACAACAGTATTATATTTACCAACGAAAATCGCCACTCTTCAAGAGGGTCCTGCATTGCCATGCCGGGCCTGCTCCACGGGGGAGGAATCCATGGCAACAAGGGACAGCACCCCACGTGGTGGGGGGAGGGGGGGCGACATTACCGTCCTCTCAACGGGGGGGGGGGTTCTCGTGACCCCCTCCCCCCGTAGGATTCCCTATGGCCCTGCCAGGCCACCCGGCGGGTCTCGGCAGTTTCACAAAAAAATCTCTCCGCAATTCCGCCGGCCCCGCAGACAGGCCGCCGTTTCGCGAGCGTTTTTACATTTTTCTCGAAACGTCGCGTTCGGTACAATGAACGAGCGCGGCGCGATGGATGATGGCGCCGAAGGCAAGAGGCGGATCTCGCTCGCAAGCTCCGACTGTGGCCTCCCCTGGGAGACTCTACCCTCCTGCCAAAACGCCTCGCATTTCACTACAACCCAGACACTCGAAACGCAGAAAAGAAATCTTGAACTCCGACCTCCGAAGTATTTAGGCCGTGTTTTTTCTCTGGGACAAAAACGTCGTCGTCGTAATCACCATCATTGCGTAACTGCGCGACCACGGGAATTTCTATCGCCGCTGGTCGAGGCGACCGGCTCCCGATGCTCGTTTGCGCTGGGACTCGCCGGATCTCTCTGGCGTCGATCCGGCACGTTGCGTGTGCGCCGAGGGGCACCATTCGCGTCTCACGTGCGCGGTCCGCCCCAAAGCCGCTCGCGCCTCCGCGGCCCCCTCGCGCTGCCGGGGGGGCGCGAGGGAGCCGCGGAGCGACGCGGCTCAGTGGCGGCGCGGCCAACAGCAACACGGCGGCACGAGCGCGCGGCATCGCGTTACTCCGCGCCCCCGCCGGACCCCGACGAGAGCGGCTCGAGCACACAGCGCGCATTCAATGTCCCGCATGCACAGCGCGGGTCACATCCGCCGGGAGCTAACAGCGCTGGACGGTGGGGGTGGGGTAGGGTGGCGGCACAGGGAGGAGTTTGGGGGCACGGGATGGTGATGAGTGGCACGAGAAAGCTGCAGTTCACTCCTGGAGGGGTTGAGGGGTTGGGCAGCATGGGGGTGGTTGCGAGTGGCGTACGGAGGTGTTGGACGGTGCGAGGCGTTGAGCGGGTCAGCGAGTTGTTCGCAAGCGGGGCGAGATGTCACGTGGCGCCAGGAGGTAGCAACTGACAAAGGTGTTGGGTGGCACAGGCAGGTGATGAGTTGTAAAAAGGTTGTCATGGATGGCATGAGATGGTGGTGCTTGGCTCAAGTTGGAATTGGGGCTGCGTTGGGGTGGCAGTGCCCGTGTGTAACCTCGCTGTCCGATGCGCGTTCGGGATGTGCGGCGTGCCGTTTGGCACGATATCCGACGTTTCGCTTCATGTGCTAGAAAGCTCCCTGAAGAAGCTCCCACCCAGCACGTGGAGCAAAACGTCAGATACGGCAATGAGCGAGACACAGCACGACCCGAGAAGCATGATGGCTTGTTGCCAAGGTTCATGTTTTTAAATTGATATTTTATCTTCGCTGAAGACGCAAGCGCCACAGGGCGGCGTGGAGACCCGGTGCAGGAGATTCCCTCGCACCTAGAGGCTGTCCTCGGGGTAACGCCATTATGCGTACTGCCTTCTGGATAGCGCTTAACTATTCTTGAGTTGCTGCTATCGAGTTATTTCAAACTTTTTCTCGCGAGGCTATAATCACCCCCGGCTCCTCACGCATGGCTACCCCCCCCCGCCCCCCCCCCGACCCCCCCCCCCGACCCCCCCCCCCCCCCTAGGGATGGAGTGTCTCACGGCCGCAGGACCATTCACCACACACATCCTCACCGCACACATCCTCAGCGCACACCCACTCACCGCACACATCCTCAGCAGCGCATACCCACTCACTGAACAGCCCCTCACCCCACAGCCTCTCACCCATCACCCCGTGTTCCCGTGCAAACGCTGTCCCAATATTTGCTCGGCCAAAAGTCAGCCCGTCCACCGGGTCGCAACACAACAACAACAGCAGCGGCGGCAGCAGCCTTTTATGGCACAGAGTCTCGTGACTCGCTTGCGAGAGGGTCCCGCTCGGCGTGTTTGGCCGATTCGCGGTGGAGGAAAATTTCCCCGTGTGTGTGTGGGGAGCGGTGGCCCAATGGTTAGCGCACTGTGCTACGAATCCGGAAAACGAGGTTCGATTCCCACTCAGACTCTACACCAGGGACGATCATTATCTAAACCGATCCTGGGCCTCCCTGAGGTCGACTCAACCTGAATGAGTAACTTGTGCGATGTGGGAACATCAGCACCGTGGAGACAAAGGCTACCGGGCGTAGGGCTGGCCACCTAAGGCCTTCGTGTGCCGTGCCAGCCTTCATGAGGTGCTACTCGTGAACAGCACTTGCCCCAACAGTCTGTTAAGGACTCTCGGGGGATTTTTGTCTTCGTCTTATGGAACCCCGAATGCCTTAAGAAGCCACGCGCACACCCGGGAGGATTGGGTCGAGAGGTTTCAGTCACCCGCCGCTTGTACCGACTGCGGAAAATTGGCCACTTGTCAGCCACGCGTGCGGTTCGTTACGCGACCCATCAACCCCGAATCCGAGTCGCCGGATCACAGGAGCACGGCGCCCATGAGAGCTCGCAGGTGCCCCAGGACCGCGCACCCTGGCGACATCATCACGCGCCCCGCCGGGATGGCGCACCACGTGCACACCCCCCGGTCTGCACAGCCCCCCTCGACCGCACCCCCCCCTGGGACCGCACCCTCACTTGTTCTCGTTGCTGATGTCGTAGCGAGGCATGGGGTCCAGGTCATCTCCGTTCACGTCGTAACTCGCCAGCGGGTCCTGCCAACAAATCACAACGACGACGAAGACGACGACGATTTGGACGATGATGACCGCACGCATCGTTAACGCAAAAGAAAGCGTCCGCCACGTCAGGATCGACACGAGCTCAACAGACTGTAGGGGCAACTTCTGTTCACGAGGAGCACCGATGAAGGCCGCCACGACACACACGTGGCGGCTGATTGATCAGCACCACATCCGACTGCCTCTCTCCCCAGTGCTGATGTTTACGCACCGCACCAGGTACTCATTTGAGGTTGAGCAGCCCTAAGGGAGCGGGAATGGAACTTGGGTCGCCGGGACGTACAGTGAGGGAAAAAAAAGCATTTGATCCCCTGCTGATTTTGTACGTTTGCCCACTGACAAAGAAATTATCAGTCTAAAATTTTAATGGTAGGTTTATTTAAACAGTGAGAGACAGAATAACAACAAAAAAATCCAGAAAAACGCATATCAAAAATGTTATAAATTGATTTGCATTTTAATGAGGGAAATAAGTATTTGACCCCTCTGCAAAACATGACTTAGTACTTGGTGGCAAAACCCTTGTTGGCAATCACAGAGGTCAGACGTTTCTTGAAGTTGGCGACCAGGTTTGCACACATCTCAGGAGGGATTTTGTCCCACTCCTCTTTGCAGATCTTCTGCATGTCATTAAGGTTTCGAGGCTGTCGTTTGGCAACTGGAACCTTCAGCTCCCTCCACAGATTTTCTATGGGATTAAGGTCTGGAGACTGGCTAGGCTCCTCCAGGACCTTAATGTGCTTCTTCTTGAGCCACTCCTTTGTTGCCTTGGCCGTGTGTTTTGGGTCATTGTCATGCTGGAATACCCATCCACGACCCATTTTCAATGCCCTGGCTGAGGGAAGGAGGTTCTCACCCCAGATTTGACGGTACATGGCCCCATCCATCGTCCCTTTGATACGGTGAAGTTGTCCTGTCCCCTTAGCAGAAAAACACCCTCAAAGCATAATGTTTCCACCTCCATGTTTGACGGTGGGGATGGTGTTCTTGGGGTCATAGGCAGCATTCCTCCTCCTCTAAACATGGCGAGTTGAGTTGATGCCAAAGAGCTCCATTTTGGTCTCATCTGACCACAACACTTTCACCCAGTTGTCCTCTGAATCATTCAGATGTTCATTGGCAAACTTCAGACGGGCATGTATATGTGCTTTCCTGAGCAGGGGGGCCTTGCGGGCGCTGCAGGATTTCAGTCCTTCATGGCGTAGTGTGTTACCAATTGTTTTCTTGGTGACTATGGTCCCAGCTGCCTTGAGATCATTGACAAGATCCTCTCGTGTAGTTCTGGGCTGATTCCTCACCGTTCTCATGATCATTGCAACTCCACGAGGTGAGATCTTGTATGGAGCCCCAGGCCGAGGGAGATTGACAGTTCTTTTGTGTTTCTTCCATTTGCGAATAATCACACCAACTGTTGTCACCTCCTCACCAAGCTGCTTGGCAATGGTCTTGTAGCCCATTCCAGCCTTGTGTAGGTCTACAATCTTGTCCCTGACATCCTTGGAGAGCTCTTTGGTCTTGGCCATGGTGGAGAGTTTGGAATCTGATTGATTGATTGCTTCTGTGGACAGGTGTCTTTTATACAGGTAACAAGCTGAGATTAGGAGCACTCCCTTTAAGAGTGTGCTCCTAATCTCAGCTCGTTACCTGTATAAAAGACACCTGGGAGCCAGAAATCTTTCTGATTGAGAGGGGGTCAAATACTTATTTCCCTTATTACAATGCAAATCAATTTATAACATTTTTGACATGCGTTTTTCTGGATTGTATTGTTGTTATTCTGTCTCTCACTGTTCAAATAAACCTACCATTAAAATTATAGACTGATAATTTCTTTGTCAGTGGGCAAATTACAAAATCAGCAGGGGATAAAATACTTTTTTCGCTCACTGTAGCTCACCGTGCTCCCCTCTCCTAGACACACTCCCACCGACACACACACACCACACTCCCACCGACACACACACACCACACTCCCACCGACACACACACACCACACTCCCACCGACACACACACACCACACTCCCACCGACACACACACACCACACTCCCACCGACACACACACACCACACTCCCACCGACACACACACACACCACACTCCCACTGACACACACACACCACACTCCCACTGACACACACACCACACTCCCACTGACACACACACCACACTCCCACTGACACACACCACACTCCCACTGACACACACACACCACACTCGCAGGTCCTCATTAACGCCCCTTTGTGTGGTCCAGGGAGGCAACGCCCCCCCCCCCCCGCTCCCCACTACCCTCTGGGTCCCCCAGAACCGGGGTCCACAGGAATGTTGAGAGTCAGACGCGGGAATCAGCTGCGGCACGACTGTGTGTTTTACGTTATAAAAACACGCTCCACACGCGCACACACAACCACACACACAGCCACACACACAACCACACACACAGCCACACACACAGCCACACACACAACCACACACACAACCACACACACTGCCACACACACTGCCACACACACTGCCACACACACAGCCACACACACAGCCACACACACAGCCACACACACAGCCACACACACAGCCACACACACAGCCACACACACAACCACACACACAACCACACACACAACCACACACACAACCACACACACAGCCACACACACAGCCACACACACAGCCACACACACAGCCACACACACAGCCACACACACAGCCACACACACAGCCACACACACAGCCACACACACAACCACACACACAGCCACACACACAACCACACACACAACCACACACACAGCCACACACACAGCCACACACACAACCACACACACAGCCACACACACAGCCACACACACAACCACACACACAGCCACACACACAGCCACACACACAACCACACACACAGCCACACACACAGCCACACACACAACCACACACACAGCCACACACACAGCCACACACACAGCCACACACACAACCACACACACAACCACACACACAACCACACACACAGCCACACACACAGCCACACACACAACCACACACACAGCCACACACACAGCCACACACACAGCCACACACACAACCACACACACAGCCACACACGGCCATGCACGGGCGATTATCTCCCGTATCGCCCCGCAGACCACTGGAGACAGTGCTGCTAACGAGCACCTATGAAGGCCGGCACAGCACACGAGGGGTGAGTGGCCAACAACATGCACGGCCGCCTTTGTCTCCCTCGTGGCGATGTTTACACACCGCACCAGGTACTAATTTGAAGCCGAGTCGACCTAGGGGAGCCCCAGGACCGGTTCAGATAATCGTCACCTGTGTTGGCCGTGAGCGGGAATCGAACCCGGGTCCCCAGGTTCGTAGCGCAGCGTAGCGCTAACCGCTACACCACCGCTCCCCACGTGTACGCCCATGTACACACACACACCCGTACACGGACACCCACAGACGCGCGGACCCACAGACGCGCGGACCCACAGACACGCGGACCCACAGACACGCGGACCCACAGACACGTGGACCCACAGACACGCGGACCCACAGACGTGTGGACCCACTGACGCGTGCGTGCGCCCTCACGTAGTTGTCGACGAGGTCGGGGTGGTTGCGCTCGATGCCGTCGTCCAGGATGGTGACCACGACGTTGCGGCCCGTGTAGCCACGCCGCCACGCCGCCATCACGTTCATGTCCGAGCGGCAGTTGTAGCCTCTGTCACTGCAGTTCTACAGCAGCGCGGGTGGCAGCACGGGGGGTAGAGTTCAACACAGGGCACAGGTCAACATGGGGCTGGGGTCAGCGGGATGTAGAGGTATCAGGGTTGCAGAAGTCCAAGTGCCTCTCTGATCCCACAACCATTGGCATTTGAGTCAGTGGTGGAAATTCCACATTCTTTTGGGAGGGGCAGTCTATCCACATAAAACCACTTCCTTCATAAAAGTAACCTCCACCATAGCTTTCTCGCAGATATACGACGATCACTTGCAATGGCCGGAGATCACGATTTGATTATTTCGTCTCATCCGTTCCGTCTGTCCATCTCCACCATCGGCTCAAAATAAAAATTTGTGAAAATAAAAAATACAAATCGAGCGTCGGCACGGGAGGTCGTCGCTATCGCAAGGATCTCCCGCTATCGACGGCTCCTTACAATCAGGGCTTCATCCCCCCCCCCCCCCTTGTGTTTCCGTATCGCCGACAAACTGGCGAGGAGTAGGGGTCCCCGTGGAGTGGTGACCGCCTTGGGTTGGGGACCCCCGAGGGGCCCCATGGGGTGATGACCCCATGGGGTGATGACCCCGGCGGGCCACGGTGCGAGTAACGCGCCGCGAGCGCTGTCCTGCGCAATTAGAGGGGAGCGCGCGTCACAGCCCCACGCACACACGCGCAGCGGGCGACGTGTGTGGTCGGAGGAACGCACAAAAGACAAAGATCCCCCGTGTAGCCTTGACAGACTGTTGGGGCGAGTACTGATCGCGAGCACCTACGAAGGCCGGCACGGCACACGAGAGCGTGGGTGCCCAACACCACGCTCGACCGCCTTTGTCTCCCCAGTGGTGATGTTTTTACACACCGCACCAGGTACTCATTTGAGGTTGAGCGGACCTAGGGGAAGACCCAGGACCGGTTCAGATCATTTTGTGACTGGTGTTGGCCGTGAGCGGGAATCGAACTCGGGTCGCCGGGTTCGTAGCGCGGCGCACTAACCACGACACTACCGCTCCCCACCATGTCGATGTACTCGCACATGTACACATGCAGACAACAACAAAAACTGCGGTTAGCCACTATGTGATGGTGATGTAACCACAACGCTTGTGCCAAGCTAGGTGCGCTTTGAGGACACGTGAAGTGTGGAAGGCTTGCTGGCAGGCGGTCACAGGACAGACCCAAGGGTTATGGGTCGACTGAGATGACTGGCAGGCAGACACCCAAATATGCACAGACACACAGAGACTGACACTGACAGACCCAACAACACTTAGACGCCTAATTCTTTACTCCCAATTACAGAGAAAATGCTGCACTCTCCCCCACACTAGAAACGCACTATTTTAACCAGAGCACTACCCATACACCCTCATAGATGTTCTCTCTCTGCACCCCCCACTCACCAGGTACCACATGCTGGACCACTTGGGGTCGTTAAAGAGGAGCGTTGCCACGGAGACCGTCTTAAAGTCGCGCTTGCTCCTCCTCCGCACCACCTGCTGCTCCACCCACTCCACCTGCGCACATGCGAGCACGCGAGAGCACACACGTGCTCACCGGGTGTCCGCACGCTCACCGAGGGTGCGTGCGAGTGCGTGCCTGTACCGGGGGTGCATGTTCAGGCGTGCGGTGTCAAAGTGGTTCCCGTTATTTTGGGTTTGAGTCCCAGTCCTGTTAGTTACCACCAATTCCACCAGCACCATCACCACCCACCACCACCACCACCACGACAGTTTTCAATCATCGTCCCCTCCACCACAACCACCACCACATCACCAACCCTGGCTATCACAACCAAGAGCACTACAATCTATCACCACCATCAATCATCATCACCATTAAAAACCACCACCATTGGGATCTACAGGATGAAATGTGCCTTGAAAATGTAAAGTATTATCATTAATCTATCACCACCACCATGTTTGCGCGCATGTGTGCGTGCGAGCGCGTGTGTGTGCTCGTGCGTGTGTGTGCGTGTACGCGTGCTCGTGTGTGCGTGTACGCGTGCTCGTGTATGTGCGTATGTGCGTGTGTGCGTGTGTGTGCGTACATCTCACCTGCGGCTCTGCCTCGATGAAGGTGTGGGCCCCGCGGCTCCTCACGGTTGCGCGCTTCATCACCCTACTGTGGTGGAAGTGGTAGTAGTCCCGTAACGAGCCGATCTGCACACACGCACGCACAACGCCGCGTTCAGCCACACGGCAACCCCTACCCGGGTTCGACTCCGGGTTCCAGCTCGCCCACCACTACAGCGGGCTCTCAATACTCAGCAAGCCGATGGGCTGGGCCAAATCGCCAATGACTGCACAAACAGTCCGTCAAGTCACTCGTGCACTGTCACCCAACTTTGAATCATTTAACTTTGAATGACATGCGACAAACACTTATTACGTTTCAATCTTTCACCTGGAAAGTTTCTCGAGAGGGAACATGTCGTGTGCAAGGGTGTCCCTGAAAATTCACAGTGAACGCGTGGCCACGCGCAGTTTAAGCATTTAATTCTATAACATACACAATAAAGTGACATCAGAGGGAGACATGCATGTGTGTATGTTGAACTTCTTTTGCACCGTACGTGGCCAACCGTGCCAAATCAGAGGTGCGGGGCAAGGACAAGAACACTAAACGCAAAAAGCAGTCCTAAAGAAATTAGTTTTCAATCGAGATTTAAAAGTGGGACGCTCCCAGTGGCTTCCTAATATCGGAAGGGAGAGCGTTCCAGACGGCCGCAGAAGCGCATCTGTGACGTCAACTCTCCTGCCGTTCCATGACACGCGATGGTACACTGCTCGCTGCAACTGGACAAGACCGGTAACAGAATTGCAAAGGGAATGAGAAAAGGTGCCCTGAGAGACGACCACCGCGGAGATGGAGTCATGAGATCTACTCGGAGTAAGGCGCGAGGTGGATCGCGAAGGCTGCAGCGCCGCCAGAGGGAGGCGATGGCGTGGGGGAGGGGGGACTTTATCCAGCAGTTGATAGCCCATAGCTCAGGATTAAGATTCCTCAACGTCAAGGAGTGGACAGGCCTACTACCACGATGATGATGATGATGGTGGTGTTATTGATGACGATGGTGATGCTATCGATGATCTCGGGGAGCGGATGCCCAAGGCGAAGTAGGCACTTAGAGTTTATGCGAAATCATGGTTGGCCAAGAATGTTGTCAGTGACTTCAACACCCACAGATGGGGGTTGGGTGTTCGTGCGTCCCTTGCCGAGGGAGTGTTGTTGCGAGTGCCATCTTTAATCACAGCCCTTTCTATTTAAACGCTTCCTGTTGTTGTTTAGGTTCCTGTCCCCCAGCGGACGCAGGAACCCCGAAAGCTCTCCGCAGGGGGCTAACGGTGGTGGTGGGGGGGGCGTAACTCGAGTCGCGGGGCACGGTGAGGCCCACGGCGGATGCACCCCCTCCCCCCACCTTCCTACAACACGAGCCTCCTCCGCCCAGCTCCGTGTCTGGCTGGGTGTTCATCACAATCTCGGAGCACTCATCTCACGCACACGCAACGCGCGCGCTCTCTCCGGGCGTTCACCGTGAGACGGGATTTCCCAACATCTGCTCCCGGCCCAGGTTCTGGGAATGTCTCCAGCGCTTCACTGCGATTGAGCGGCTCTGATTAAATAACCACAACCAGATGGGGGCCCGCGGACGCCGCTTTCCAGCGCTCGCAACGGAGACCCGTGGCCCCGCAGCAGATGCAGAGGAGGGCCTCGCTCAAGCGGGCCGTCATCGCGGCCGACGTGGAAGGCCCAAGGCGCAGCCCCGCAATGTCTTGCTCGACACGCTGCCCGGTGGAAGGGCTTCCCTTTCCGCTCGCGGTTGGCAGAGGAGATGAGCGCGAAGGATGAAAGTGGTGGATGGGATGCGGAGGGATGGCGAATGAGGCGACTGGGATGAGAAGGGAGGAGAGAAGGGAATGGGATGGGGAGATGATAGAAAGTGTCGAGGGCGAATGGGATGGGAAGGTGAGATGATGAAGCTGATGGATGAGGATGTGTGGAGGATGTGACGCGATGCCACAAAGCCTGGAGGCACGAGTGGTCGAGGATCAACTCGGCTTTTCAAACTCAAGCGCTCGCGGCAATCAACGTCACATCAAACAGAGCTCGCATTTAAACAGCGCCCCCACCCCTCCTCACACCCCCCCCCCCCCCACAGCCCCCACGCTTTCATTAGCGCCATTAGCAACCAGAGCGACACCCTCATCGCCCGCGTCGCGATTTGCATTGATGGGGTGTGAACGCCATCACCGCGGGGGGGGGGGGGGTGTGCGGGATTAGGGAGGGGTGTGCCCCCCCCACCACCACCGCACAATCCTGCACGGCCCCCTGTCCCCCCAGGGGGCCTCCCGAGCTGGAGACGAGGGGGGGGGGAGAAAGGCCCGGTGGCACCCCCACCCCCCCCACCCCAAGCTGTGCAGCATCAAGGGGACGCGACGTCTTTGAAGGCGCAGAGCCAATTTCAGAGGCCGGGCCGGAGGTGGGAGGAGGAGGGGGGGGGGGGGCTGCGTGGGTGGCGGTGAGGGGGAGTGGTGTGGGGGGGGGCCTCTGGGGGACGGGGGCTCCCAGGGTTTTGAGAGTTTTGAAGCTAAGACGATTTGTCTTCTACTCGGGCGGGCTCCGTTTGGAGCGCTCACCTCTGCTAGTGGCTGTGGCGGAAATTCCACGGCCCTGGACCGAGGGCCAGGCTCCCAGGGCGGCAAATTCTCGCGACGTAGTTTTTATTTGTTGCTACTCACGTCTAAAATCCACCGCATTCACGTAAACTATGTCTATATGTGTGTGCGTATACACACACCGCAGAGGAGGTGGTGTGGATGCTGGTGTGGATGATGGGCAGTGATAAATAATGAAGAGCGGTGAATGATAACGATTGTTAACATTGACAATGCAGGGTAGTGATGGGGTTATGGTGATGACGAAACAGTCACGAATGAATGATGGATGATGCTGATGATAATAAGTGATTGGCAGAGCCGACTCCTGACCGGATTTGACCTGGCGACCTGTGGCCAGAACGCTGGGCGCAGTTGACCTCGTGTCTGCTCCATTGTGACCTCTGCGCTGGGCGCAGTTGACCTCGTGTCTGCTCCATTGTGACCTCTGCGCTGCTCGCTGCACGCGGCGTTTCACTCGGCAAGGCCAGGAGCCACGGGGGTAGCATGGAGACCACGCACGAGAACTTTCGAACGGCGTTGCGGCTGGTGTGGAACACAGTCCCATATTGTGCATGGAGTGATGATGATGATGATGTTTATCTCGCGTCATTCATGCAGATCGCGTCTTCACGATGCTGTACCACTATGACCCCACGCGGAGGTCATGACCCCAGCAAAGGTCATGACCCCACGCGGCATGGGTCATCGTCATCTCCATCAAAGTCACGCAACTCCGAAGTGCCCATTCGCTGCACTGTAGTCATCATTATCGTGCCTTTGCTAAACCACCACTGGACGAAAGCGCCACCAAGGCGCGTCGGTCGTTGGACCATGCCTCTCCCACGCTGCCCGGTGCCACTGATGTGAAGCCGTAGCCCTGGGAATCGAACTCGCGCGGCAGAGTTCACAGCTGCTGTGTGCGAGAACCACCACCCAATCGCTTGGGGAAAGCGTGGAGGATTCACCCAGCGCACGACGGCCGTGGCTGGGATCGGGTGGAGACGCGGCAAGACGCAGGCAGAGAGGGAGGAGGCGGCATGGAATGGCGGAGGAGTCTAGGATTATCCTCCACATCACTGACATTTTCTGTTTCACATTTCCAAGTTCGTTATTGTGTTTTATTTAAACTGCGGGTTAATTGTGCGTTTACTTATTTCATGAAGAACGTCGTTTCGTGCCGCTTGCAGTGCATTACTCTGCTGTATTTTTTTAAATATCCAGTGTCCCGTTTTTCCGTTGTTTCATTTTCCGGGTTTAAAAATCGTGTTCACTCAGGAGCATGATTCTTGATGGAATCTTGTTCAGCCCCCAGTAAATCCACTGCTGGATGAATGCATCTCCACTCGCCGTGTCCGTCAGAGGGGTTGTTTGACCATACTTCACCACGCCGGTCAGTGCGGCGGTTTATGGGGACGAGGGACCGCTCAGATGCCACTCGCTGCTGACGGTCGCCGTGACCAGGAATCGAACTCGGGCCACTGGGTTCCTAGAGCGGGGTGCGAACCGCCGCCGCACCACCGCTCCACCCTCAATGGACTCTTATCTGGCTTCAGGCGATCAGGCGATCAGGCGATCAGCCAATGGCATCGCAGGATCGCGAGAGATTGCGACGGCATGGGGAGGTTCTTCATCCAGCAGTGGATCGATCATGGCTGATGATGACGACGATGCATCAATCAAGTAATCGATCTGCCGAGTCAGGGAGAGCATCGTCTCAGCTAGCGGATATCTGTGGGTCGCGTGGACCTGGATCAAAATCTGGAGTCGACCGCAGACATGCGGGTGAACGGGTTCTGGCACCGGGGTCCCCTTACAGCCCCCCCCCCCCCCCCCCCCACAATTCCACAGCCCCTCCCCCCTCCATGTTCCCACCTGCATTCCTATGCCTCCCTTTTCGGTGAGTTCTCGCGAGGAGTTGGGCAATGAGATAAGAAGACTCCAGAGAACGGGGAGGCCTCCATGACCCACGTGCAGAAAGGGGAACACACGCGGCCCTGGATCAGTGGCGCGGCGTGGCTGGCACGGGGGCCCGGTGCAGCTGCACCGCCTGCACACCACTCAATAGCGACGCCGCTACCCTGGATTCGCCCACCCCCCCCCCCCCCCCCCGTTCACAGCAGAGGGGAAGCTGCGACCACCCCACGAGGCAGACGTTGGCTGCGGGTTTGACTCAGAACCCGGGCGAGGGACGGTGATCGCTGTGAAGATGCTGCAGCTGACGACGATCGTGGCGACGGAGGAGGAGGAGGATGGGACTCAGCCATCAGCTGCCCGTGCCTCAACGCCCGCGTGTCCCGCGGGGATGTTTGAGGACGATGTGGGTGGCCAATTCTGGGGTGTGTGGTGATGATGACGTAATGGTGACGATGTGTGAGTGTTGATGATGTTGACGTGATGGTGATGATGACGTGATGGTGATGATGATGATGTTGACGTGATGGTGATGATGATGTTGACGTGATGGTGATGTTGACGTGATGGTAATGATGATGTGTGGTGAT